TTACGTAAATATGAATAATAAATGTTACACATATACAAATTCCTTATTTTTAATTAATAAATTAATCGCTTTTATATATTTTTTATATTAATATGTTTCCTTTATTATACAGCTAGAGTATATATTTTATATAAAAGTTTTAAAATAATAATTATAGAATTTTATGTAATTATTACTTTAATTTATTTAAACTTTTACATGTATAAAAATTTTTTTTATGTGAAATTCAATCCATTTCAATCCATTTTCATTTGCTGAGTGCTCTTTTTTATCGTTTTATTGTTTTTGAAATTAGGAGTCCTTTATTGTTTTTATATGATTTGTACATCTTTATGTCGATTTGTGTACAACGACATTAAAGTGCACTGAGTGCGCACTAATTCTGTTAATGAAAAATACTATTATATTTCCACGATATTTCTGTAGTATTTTCGAAATATCCCAGTCAACCAATTAAATCTAATACAACATCTGTATAATTTCGCACTCAATAATATCTATAAATGTAATATAACAAGTATATAGTATTACATAATAATTACATTGTTAAGTGCAAAATTATAACATATAGATATTACTTTCAAGTTGATGTCGACTGGAATAATCTACATTCTGTGTTATTTCTACATCAATTCTCATCTATAATAAATCTGTAGTACTATATCTTCTTTAGGTCAACTCCGCAATCTTATTGACTTACGAATATCTTAAAATCAATATTCGCACGTTCCATCGTTAGATTAGGCACACTATCGCCGTCCACTTTATTCACACAGTCCGGATTTATTCAATTCGTGAGTTAGATAGATTTTATCATGTCCTTGTTTACGTTAGTTGTTTTTATCTCTCCTGCGTGAGTTGCTTTTAAGATTTAAATCGTTAACGCGATTAAATTACATATTGTACTTTTCTATCTTACATAAGTGTAAGATCGAGAAAATCTTATTGTTAGTATAAAATGTACTTTATTATCTATTTCTTTTTTCCATTCCCCTCAACATTGTCGCGCTCCCGATTTCTTCTTTCCGCGTCTGCCTTTATTTTTCGCTTATTCCGTGTCCGGCGTTGATATGGTACGCGCGTGTAACGTAAGAGAAGAAAACGGAAAAACGACGCCGGCCTGCGGTTGGCCGGATCTGGTTCAGAAATGAGATACGCCTGAGAGACCTGACGTAAACAAACGATAATGTCATGTCTCTGTAGGCTGTAGATAGAGATCAACTAGTACGTGATCAGCGCTCGATACCTGCTTATCGATCACCAATCAACGTAAGTATTCAAATTTTATACACTATACTAATCAATTTTAAACAATTGTCTTCAAGTTATTTATAATCGAAATTGAGAAACGACAGAATTTCAGAGCCGTATCTCATTCGCGAAATTTAGCCCTTATAATATAATACACATTTTTTCAAATTTATTTTGTTTACATAAATCTTATGTCTCTCCTTATTTTATTATAACGTAAAATCGATCAATTCAGCGGTGATATATTGAGTGATATATTTAAATTTATTGAGTGATATAAATATATGTATATATGTATATTTGACTTTACACTGAGAAAAAAATATAGTCAATTTTAATAAATATTTATTTCAGTATTGCCAACGTATAATAAATAAATGTTTGTTCAATAAAAAGAATGGTTAAATTAAATTAATAGTAATTCTTATAAAATAAAGGAATAAATCTTCAAATAAATATTCTTTTTATTCTCCAAATAAATATATCTTTATATTTAATAGATATTTAGTGACAGTATTTAATTAAATAATTATTAATAAAATTAACTTATATTTTTTTTCAGTATACAAATTTTTATTTCTCTTATTTATCTCAGATATATCTTTATTTATCTCCCCGTAAAAATTTCAAATCACATACTTTCTATCATCTTGTATGCTGTATTCTCTTCCGTTTTAATATTTAACGTTTGTACGACAGAGTTACAGTGATGTTCAAATGCGTACAAAAACGTAATTCAGATTCGTTTCACAGCCTTAGGGTCAATAATGTGCCTTTCCAATATGCCGGGTAACACCTGCATGTTGGAAAATATGCGTTTTACGCGAGCATCTGCCCCAACACAATCCATTGGCCCATTTCCAGCTGTACTGCGTGCCCCGGAAGTGAGGCGCTTGCTTCGATTATTATAAATTATACGGGATGTCGCGTTCCTTGAAAGTCTATTCTTTTTATTCGCACTTCTTGGTTCAAAGTTTTAAATTACGAATAGAAAATATGAAATAATCTCTCACCTTCCTTAGATAAATTTATAATTCAAGAAAGTTGAAAATTTTGAGAAACCAATGTTATCTCGATTATTTTATTTAATCGGTTTATCGATCGAAAAATGACTTAACAAATTTTATTTAATTTTTTCTGATATCTTTAACATTCTAGACAATTAATAAATAATTCTTCGATAATATAAAATAAATACAAATACACATGATGCGCATAAAACGAAGATGTTTGAAAATATTTAAAAGAAATCTACGTTTTAAATATTATAACAAAGAAATACATAGATGATAACGTAGTTTGCCTTAGCATCAAGGCCGTACTTTGAAAACACCTGTCTCGCGTTTCGTTAAAAATCGTGCGAAGACTATGAAAGGATAAATGTAACAACTTTGTCTACAACAAAAGACAGGGATTTATTACGATATGATTGCACAATTTATCACGTGAATGTAATCGTAATAAATGTTACCATTTTCTATTTTTCGTTTGTGTACCGACATAGATATTCGAGCTAAAGTAAATAAAAACTTGATATTCTTGAAAATAAATCCAAGATTCACTTACGATATGTTATTTACAATATAATTATCGCTAATTAAAAAGAAATAATGAAGTTTTGATACTACGTGTTACTGGATCTGATTTTATCCTCATGTAATCTTCAGTTTTATAAAAGATTGATTAGAAAAGTTATTAAAGAAAATAAAAATAGTCAATCCATTTCGGGAAACCATATTTCAATATATCAATTATTCGAATTTACTCTAAAATAATATTCTTGTTGCAATTAAATAAATACATAATTGAATAATCTTTTTGTAATATTTTTCGGGAAAAGTTGCAGCAATAAAGCTTTGCTTTTCGTAGATTGTATGCTAATATTTCTGCATTTATTACTCATTTGTTTTGTATATAAATCATGTTGGGTTGTCACGTGGCTTTGTATGCGATGGATTCGTAATTGGCAGGTTCGATCTCATCCCATACAGAATTTAAATTCATACAAGATTTTCCAAGATAGTAAGAATTTAGCATGAAGATAACTTCTAACAAATAAATTATCTTTATATTTAATAGATAAATATTTAGTTGGCACTGTTCAAACAAATGATTCATTAAAGAATTAAAGTCGAAATTAGACTAACAAGAATAAATCAGTTAATAGAAATAAATCTTATTTTCAGTCAAAATAGATCTTAGTGCTTAATAATATTAGGTGTAGTAAAAATAATGGATTTCTTTTTACTACACCTAATATTAAATGCAAATATATATATATTATTTCAGTTTTATAAATTGCGCGCTAAGGTTTGTAAGAATTACTTTATTAAAATTTAACAATGTTAATTACAATTTTTTTGATAATTATTATATTAACACTATATATCGCGAGTGACGAAAAACAAGACCGTTGTTAGGTACAGACAGGAGAGAAGGAGGAAAAGGGACAGATACATGAAGAGAGACAAGGATGAAAGACTGCAATAGGTTGAGAGGATGATAGCAATTTGCACTTGGCGTAGAGAGTACCGTCGATATCTAGTATCCCGTCGCGTTATTACGCTCGAGATACTCCGGAGTAAGAGGGAAACGGGGTCCAGAGATGACTGAGGGCGCGGGAAATACGGGAGGGGAGGATACAAGGTGTAGACTTACTTTGGACTCGGGTGTGGAATTACCGTACTTATATTCAGCTCTAATATTAAGTTACCACTTTGCTTTACGGCAAGTGAACAGACCGCCTGCATATAGGAAGCCATCCGAGCACTCTCGGGACAGTCTGTCCCGTTCGTCTGGGCCCACTTACGAATAACAACATTCGTCCGTTCCAGGGAAAGTTTCGCGACAGATCAACGGTATTGTTCTCTCGCGTTAGTCTTCCTCGAAATATCGGGACGATTACCTTTCGCCATCGATCGCGTTCTCGATTGCGAAGGGGAAAGAGCGTGAATTTCTGGAAGTAAATCCCATCTGGGCCCATCCATCGCGCTTTCTCGCACTTGAAATACATCCCCGTTCGTTCTTCACATTATTCGCCTGGAAAGGTACTGATCACATCTTCCTTAGCCGATCGAAACCAACGAAACGGAATGAAAACCTACTGAAACGTGTCGAAAAGAGGTATGTATAGCATCACGAGAGATAATTCAATCAATAGAAATTGAAACATTCTATTATACAAAATCAATTTCTTCGCATTCGAAGACACAAAATGGGTTTTAAGAACTGTTCAATGCAGTGTAATGTGAAAAAAGAATAGTTATTAAATGATAAGTGAAATAATTTCAAAGGTTCGATTATATTAATGTAACCAAAAATAATTTTATTTCTTTTAATATTTAATAATTATTATTTAATAATTATAAAAAACCAAACACTTGATTATATTAATTATGTTTGATATCATTCAATATCGTAAAGAGAAAGTTTTCCACAGATACCTGAATCTCTGCACTGAACATCACCTCGTAGTAAAGTTTTCGAGATAATTCTACTTGAAAATTCACTATTAATTTGCGCAACGCACTTTACAAGTAAGAGCGATAGAATTTTCGCATATAAGAAAGTAGAGGTACTGACTTCTGTGCGTGCTGGGGTATGTGCTGGACTTCCTAGCACCATTAGAAATCAGTACTACTCTTCTTAGCATTCGGCAATTAGGGTGCGGAGCGAAACAGAATCGTTCCTTGCGGGTGCAATTGTTCCACCGAGGGATCGAGAAAGATAAGATAAAAATTAACGCACGCTGAAAATAATTAAACATCTTTTCCCTTTAATTTTCTTCATACATCATTGTAATCATCGTTTGCCTGTACATATTTTCGATTGTTTTTCTCTTTACAGCTTTGAGCAATAAAGCGTGGCTCAAAGACGTGACACATGATATTTATTCGATTCACTAAAGTGGTGCTCTGCTTTGTTAAATTATATAGTTGTGTCTACTCGCTTCCCGTAAGTCTCACTCACCAGGAGATTTCTCCGGCATAACGGTCGTTATTATAATATATATGCACCCATGGTCAATGATCCGGCCCCCCCTAGTTGGGATGAATTAAAAGCGTCACAGTTGTCTAAGTTATTTTGCCCACGCGACACATGCTTCTGCTTTGTGAATATAATTAAATACACAACAGATATTGTATAAATTAATTTAATTTAGTTTAATTTACTTTATTGCTAAGCTCTATAAAAAGACTACATGTTAACAGAATAACAGACATAAAATATAATACATTAGACTATAATAGCTTGCAAAAGGTTAGACATCAGCAAACTGCTGTTACAAAGCCTACTAGTAACAAAAAAACCAGGATTAAGATGCAATGAGACAAAGCAACAATTACAATAATAAATTACTATTTTTAATTGTCAAATTTATTAGTAATTAATAGCTCCGCTCAATTTAATTAAAAGAGAAAATTTCACGATATGCGATCGAGCATTCAGTTGACGAATTGTATTATATATGATCGAATAAAAAAAAAAATAGCTGACACTTTATTGAAACTTGTATTAGGAGGGACTGTATCATTATTTTCCACGAGTGTAATGTTATACGCTTACTAACAATAAGTAAATATTACATACACATATATAAGTATAAACATACTATACTTTGCGAGGAAGTATGAAACATTATAATAAATAACTTTATATTCATACACAACTCGGAACTATACGGTAATGACTGTGGCGATGGCATAATAAAGGAATATGTGTGCCTATATATAATATTAAATTCGCCCGTATAAAATACAACGTACAAAATACAGGCCAATCCTCCTGATGTCTTATACGCGTGTCTGACGAAAAAGCGACAACAACGAGCACTCAGTTGAAAAGCGAGAAGATCAAGGACACTTGATACCCTCCTTATACAACGCAGTACGTACCAATTAAAACAAAATGTCTACGAAAAAATTTAGATGGAAAAAGTGTATAAGTGTATGATTACGAATTTTACAAGACACTTAATAAGAAAGAAAAAATATATAAATCGAATAAAGAAACATATATAAGTCGGATATAAGAAAAATTATAATCCGGATTTTAATTATGAATGAATAAAGCCAGATTTGAAGTTCATTTGTAAAAGATGTAACTTAATATCCGAACTGCTATACTTAATGATTTCTTAGTTTATCATTTTTTAATTATTTGCTTATATGCTTTTTCCCGAAATGTCGAAATCAATACGAAAATCCAATTTGAAGATCCTGCATTTTTATAAAATCCTGACGTGTGCGTTTATTTCTTTTATTTATCCTCTAATTCAGGCCTATCCAATTTGAGCTTTGGAGCCAAAACGCAAAGCCATTGACAAAAAAATTCAATATAGGTAAGATTTCGGACTATGACATCGACGTCTACCACGGCTTCGGGCGGACAGAGGATCATTATCAGAACGATGGGTGGCATTTATGTTAGATCAATCCCGTGATCGATGAGCATTTCAAACAGTCCGAAAAAGTACGCGACCATCTTCAACACTACGGACAAGGAAACTGGCCTGAATGGTAAATACAGACAGATATTAAACATATCAACACTTTACGGTTGTGTAAAACTTTTACACTGTAAAGTGTTGATGATTCGCATCTAAGTGACGCTTATCAACAGTTTATAATTCCTAAAATCTTACATTGAATTTTTTACATCGCTTTACGTTTGAGTTCCGGAACTTAAATTGGACAGGTCTGCTCTAATTGTAGTTTTACTTGGACGCAGGTTCCTCGAATATAGTCGCGAATTCAGCTAATTCTTATTGATTACGACTTATCATTAATGTATATTTAGCGGAACGATTTCACCCGAGTAGATTACCACAATCGTCAAACGACGATGAGGACAACGACGAGGACGATGACAAGTAAGATAAGATTTCTGGCAAGTCTATCCGGTGGTTAGGTGGAGTCCTTAGTTCGATTGGTTGCCTGAAGCCTTGTCCAAGTGTCGCCGAGTGCTTTTGCGAAATGATCGTCAACTACGCAAAGAATATTTAAGACGAATACTCCAGACTAAGACGAAGCTAAGACAAGACTGGATCCAGATTAGTCCAGCTTGGACTATGGAAGATATCATCCAAGGCCGGTCCATGTTGAATCCAGAATGTCTATTTTATCTCTTACACAACATATATTTAATATCTGTATTTACCACTCAGGCCAGTTTCCTTATCTGCAGTAGCGTTGAAGACGGCCGCGTACTTTTTCGGACCCAGAGACCGCTTGAAATGCTCATCGATCGCGGGATCACTAACGTAAACGCCACCCGTCGTTCTGATAATCGTCCTCTGTCCGCCCGAAGCCGTGGTAGACGTCGTCGTTGATGTCATAGCAGAGTCCTCGATTGTGATACCTGAAAAAAGATGGATAAGTCTTTTATATCTCTCATATCTCAATCGCTGTACGTCAATCCTAGTTGAACATTATTTTCACCGTTTTAGCGATTAGACTAAAGAAATCTTATATCGTTATGAGAAAATGTCATAATGGTACATTATTATAATTATATTTTAGCTGATTACTGTAATATTTTATACGTAATATGAAAATTAATAAATTACAAACGTAGATATAATTTTAAAAAAGGATTTTAAATGGAAAATATAAAAATGAATATATGTAAGCAAATTAAACGATTTTTTAAACAAGAATCTAGAAAATCGCAACATTTTCTTCAAAGTAGATTTTTCGATTAGATTAAAGAGAGAAAGAGAGAGAAATAATAATATAATATCATTATTAAATAATGATAAAATAATAATGTTATATTTAATATTAATGACGTTTTAATTAATTACTTAAATAATATTTTACACGATCTATCAGATATATAAAACCACTATTATTTCTAGTATAAAAAAATAAACTTAAAAAATAAACAAATGATAAATTTATCACATTACTATCATGATAAATGAATATCCGTTACAGTATTAATTCCGTTTGTAACTCGATTTATAACTAATACGATGATGAATGTTTTAGGAAAATAAACGTTAACATGCAAGGAATGTCACGTTTGCTATTGAGGGATTAACTGTATTTCCATTGAGAAATACTTCGCATCTGTACAGGATCCCGGTGCAGCAGACGATGCATTGTCATAAAACACACCCTACACAGACACCCCTGATGACAATGGGGACTTAGAGGAGATGCCCAACGACGACTCGGTCAGAATATCCATTATTAGTCGAACCAAATCGGTAAAAATATTTCGAATAGTTTGAAACCCTGACGTAAGATTAATTAAAGTAAGCAAATTTATTTTTTTAAATGTTTCATGTTTCAATAACGGTAAAATTTAATTGTTGAAATCCGATTAGTTTATATTATAGAAATCGAGCGGACGAATATTTCGCTATCCATTTACAGCTACAAATATTAATTCGGATTTCACAATGTTCAGTATTTAATCGTTCCGTAATTATATCTTCATTTCGACATAAATATAAACATACAAATCACTTTATTTTATTCTTCTAAAAAAAAAGTTACATGAAAATTAAAAAATAATAATTTGCTAAAGAAAATATGAATTCAATTGAAATGTCAATCTATGAGTTTTTTCAACATTGAAACTTTATATTTATTTCTCCGCACGAATTGAAATTAAATGTTCATTCGTTCGCAGTATAGAATTTTGTAACTTGACATAAGTTTCTCGCTTATTCGAGACTGAAACTCTGCAAGATCGAAATTTTTCGTCATCAGTCACGTAAAACGAAAAATTGTCTTCCGTCAAAATTTTGACTTTATTTTAATCGATATCAAAAAAGATATTAATTACATCTTTTTTTCTTTTCAGGGATTAATCATTATTAACGACTGCTTACCAACTTGCGTCGTAGGAACGATCACGCTCGGTCTGTTGTGGTGATTATTTGTTCTCGACATGTCCAACGCTTCGCTCTGAATCGGATCTCTCCTACGGTCCTTACGCCAAGCACTACTTGGTTTTCGATGCAGATTCGTCACCTTCGATCTCTCCTCTGCAATATACGAAGACATCATTATAAACGACGTTATTCTTTGAGATGGAAATTCTGAATGAGGAAAACAATCGGCGCTATCAGATATTGACAAACAGATATTCTAGATCAGACCTGTCCAATTTCAGCTCCGGAGCCAAAACGCAAAATCATCGAAGAAGATTCAAAAGAATACAATGTAAGATTTCAGAGACTGTAAAATATTGATAAGCGTCACTCAGATGCGTATCAACACAATACTTTACAGTCCCCGAAATCTTACCCACATTGAATTTTCTGCATCGATGGCTTTGCCTTTTGGTTCCGGAACTCAAATTGGATAGGCCTTATCTAGATAGATCACAAAGAATTTTCTTCGTTATCTCAATTAACTATTATTTATTATACCGGTCGCGTTCAATTTGCTATAGCGAGGATATTTACTTTATTAATGTTTCGTTCTGAGTTGAATTTATTCCGAACTTCCAACCTTTTCGTTTTAAGCGATAGTGAGACGAGCTACGCCTTCGAGTAGTTAAACACGAAATGTACGCATTGAACTTCCGAAGAAAACTAACGTTTTCCCTGTCATTGTTGGGCTGAACTGAATGCGAGGAATGTCAATGTTATTCGGCAGTCATAAAGTGGGGATCTCGGTGGAGAGAAAAGAGAGGAACGGGAAACATAAGGAAGCGACTAAATTGGCTGTAAATATTTTCGTTTGGTATTATCTGTTTGGACAAAAGAATGTACAAGCAAAAGCGCTCGTATACATGAAAAGAACGAAGTAGTAAGTTTGATAGCTATAGATCAACCGTATTATACGAGCTTCGTTTATGTTCCGCAACTTTCGCTAGTAATGTAGCCAGCACATATATCTAGAATTCCTCTTTTACATTTATTTACCACACTTCATGATGAGCAGCGTTATTGATCGAAATTTATCGGAAATCGCGAGGGTCGTTTCTATTTCCGTGCGGCGGGATATCTAAAATTGGAAAGTCACTCAAACGCAGAGACAACCCTTTACGATCGATTGAGAAAGAGCGAAAAGATAAGGAGGATGAGAAAAAGGACGACGAAGGACGAAGGAAGAGAGTAGTAAAAACAAGTTCGGTTCTCAGGATGGGCAGGAAGTGCCTAATAGCCGTGAGAGGATCGTCAAGATGGCGAAACTGGTTTAGAGAGACGTGTACCGCAGGGAAAAGATGAATGGACCATCGAGATGAACGGAAGCGGGACGGGAGGGTTGCCTCGAGAGTCAGTTAACTTCTCGATATGTGCTGCTGATAATTAACGAACGCATGAGTCTCGTCCCTTTATGACTCCAAATCATAGGGCGATTCGACATTTCCGCTGCTGAAGGTATCCAATAGATAAATCAGGAAAGCCGAAAGTCCTTTTTAGTCCGTAAAATAAAATTTGATGAGAGGAACAAAGCACTCTTACGACATTGCTTGGCCCTTCGACATATATCTTTAATTACACAATTTATAACGCAGTATATATTTTGTTAATAATACTTTATTATTTTTAGCATTATCCTGTAATTGCCAATCGTAAAATCGAACACTAAAAATAAAAAACTGAAGAGTCGAACTCCAAGCGGGAAAATTATTAGCGTAAATTTGCGAATCTTAAAGCAATTCCGAAAGATGCGATGTGCGACGGCAATTATTATTATCAAAATTTTCATCTTAAAATATTTGGAATTAATTTGCAGGAATTTTTGTTTAGAGAAAATGTGATGAAATGAAATGTGTTCAATATAATACACTGAGAGAAAAAAATTATTGCAGTTATCATAATTTATAGTCATTTTCAGTATTAATTATATTATTATTTGGTAAAATTATAAAAATAATTATTATTACTAACATTATACCAGTAATAACTATAAAAATGGAGCTCCTAATCATAATTATTTTACCATGCAATCATAATCACAAATATCAAATACCAAAAATACCAAATATTTTTCTCTCAGTAAATATACCATTAGATACCAAGTCAAATAGCAATAAGATATATGTATTTACATTTTGGTGAGTAAATTCCAACAAAATTTTTCATCGATAAAATCGAAAAATCCATTTTAAGTTGAACATTTGTATTATTGTTTATATTTCTGGACTGTAACATATATACTAATGCATGTCTAAAGTATCTGTCACTCTGGAACGAATGGCATTCCTTTCAACTCGAAAACTACTCAAGTTAATTTACATCTTGTTAACAAAAATCGACTGTAAACTAGGCATAAATATTTTGAAGTATGTATGGCTGTATATCATATTATATAATTTCTGTCAAACAAATCCGAATAACGACGCAAAAAAAAAATTGTAATTTGTTTTCACTAGAAATTTTAATTTTAGATTCAAAATTAAAATTTTTTTTTATAATAAGCTTTTCTTATTCATTTTTTATTCGTTTTAAGTCTATTTGACTCCACCCATTTAGTTTTTTCACCGTGCTTTACAAAATGACATACCTTCCGGTTTGCAAGGCAGTCGGAGGCTATCGACATTAAGCCACGGCTGCCAGAGATGCCTCCTCTTGCATGGGAGCTCCATTTTATTGGTCTTGGGAGCATTAATGGCCAAGTTAAACTGCGGGATCGTGCTCTCTTACGAGATAGGTACAGAATATCTGAGCAAGGCGAAAATTTAGTTCATTCCTAAACGCACTATATTTCTTTCTGCGAGGATTCAGTCTATCGTCACATGTTCTTCACCTTCAGTAATATTACAGCACAATTTAGACTAATTTTTACAGCGATGTATGTATAGTTTTCGATTAAAATATCCATCACATAATGTAATAACGCGCACAATTGAACGCAAATAATGACGAAGGTGCGTAAATAGAGTTAAAAAAATTCAATTGACGATAAAACAAGTTATCTTCATCGATAATGCACGGTTATCTGTAATTAAAAGCTGCTTGAACTAAGCGTTCCTTATTCTATAAAGTTTCTCACAAACAAATCACAGTTAGCGATGCGTTGCGATTCCACTCTCGCACAAATCTCGATCGAAATTTCGCAAACGATACATGCGCCCATCGTTTGACCGGCAATATAATACTTAAATAATCACTAAATAGTTAACAAAAACTATTCTTGGATGTTACTTTCGATACACTTTATTATTTTCATCCTCGAAATGAAGAATCTGCGCGCTAATTTCATTCAAAATTTTATTCTCGTGAAGATTCGTTCCTGCAGAGAAAGAACTGTGTAATCTCCCTTCTTCTTTTCAAAATTTTTTTCTATTTCCCGGACATTTTTCTGTTTTAGTGTCACAGCTACTTCTGAGAATCGATACAATTATTCTTATTTCTTCTGATCGTAGGCGGACAATCACTGTAACGACGTCGTATGAACACATCAGAGAAGAGATTGCGGAATCCCCATGGAACTGGAGAATCGAAAGAACTCAGGAATCAAAGGGGAAAAAAGGGAAGATGCGACGAAACGAGGAAATTCGAAAATTACGAGATGTGGAAAACAAATTAAGCGGCACGCAAAAACACTTATAACGAAACGGTCATTTAACACAATTGCGAGGTGCACACAATGCGGAGGAACGACGGCAACGAGGATGAAAATGGCGACGACGCGAGAAGAGAAGTCGCGAGGTCCACTAAAAAAAAAAAAGCTCGTCCCTCAAAGGCGCACTCGCGGTTTCGTGAATGCGCCACTCACGACTGTCTTAAGATTCATTCATTCATCCGCCGCCTCGACTCCGCCGTCCGCCGCCACTCTTCTCCCCGTGCAACACGTGGGATCGAAGGAGGTTGCCTTTTACACGTACACACGCATACACGCGCAATGCTGGCACTCGTGCGAGAGTTGTATATACCGAGGATATCCTGCATGGATACGACGAGAATTAAGCGTGTATTTATAAGGTACTATAAGCGCGCGCGCTCGGCTGGAAGCCAACTCGTCTCTTTTCTCGCTTTCTCTTTCTCTCGACCTCTCCCTCTCTATCTCTTTCTCTCTTTACCTTTTTACCAGGTAGACACGATATACTGGGTGTGCAGAGACTAAGGACAGTATTCCTAGTTTATTCTTATGTTAAGATCGTCTTGAGTATTGTCTTAAGACGCTAATACAGCTTTCTGATTGGCTTATGACATAAGTATAGTCTTAAGATGTCATAAGCCAATCAGAAGGCTGTATTAACATCTTAAGACAATACTTAAGATGATCTTAACATGAGAATAAACTAGGAATACTGCCCTTAGTCTATGTTTAAGACAGTTTCAAATATAATAGGCTGTAAGTCATTATCTAAGCTTTAAGTCTCAAGCTGCGAGAAACAAGACTAATTATTGTTGATTATTCTTTTCTTATAACTTAAGACTTAAAACTTAGATAATAGCTTATTGTAGAAAGTCCATAAGAATCGACTATGAATACCTTATGATATCTCAAGACTGCACTTAAGAACTGTCTTAAATATAAAAACTGACTATGATCGGTATTCACAGTTGGTTCTTATTTGAAGACCGTCTTAAGTAATGTCTTAAGTCGCTAACGCGACCCTCTGATTGATTCATGACATCTTAAGATTATACTTAAGACGGTTTTAATATAATATCTGACTATGAATACCAGCCTATGAATACCGGCCCAAAAATTCGCATATATGTCCTTTGATCATTTAAGACCCAATAAAATGAACTTAACGCGCTTGATATATTTCTTCTTTTTAACGAAACACTCTAAGCCAAGTCGAACTAAAAAACGCGCGAGTATTCGCAGTTTTTTTAAAAGTTGCATGTATACTGGATGCGTAATGCGTTCCATTTAGTGCTTACAGAGCTTATCAGCATCATTTGTCCTTTTTTAAACATTTAATAAACAAGAATAAAAGAATTCCAAGAGCGAACAGCAAACTGAACGTAGCCCATATATGGCTTGTTTCAAGAAAGCCAATGAAGAAAAGCATTCTGAGAAATTTACACGTTATGTGGTTATTAAGTGATAAAAATACGACGGAAAGTAAAAG